AACCCGCTGGATATTTATCATGACGGAGTTCAGCTAAATGCTTGAGGCATCTCGTTGCTAAGTATGAGGCCGATGACGTGCCGTACGTGACGGTAGTGAGCTCGTACGTCTTCACCTCGGTGACTGGGCTGTCACGCCACATAATTCGTTGGTAGCGTGTTTGAGAAGGATGGACTTGTATCTGGCGATACATTTTGATTATATCTGCCGTGAGTACGTAACGGAACATTCGAAATCGTGTGAGTATCGATAGGAGATCTTGTTGCACGACTGGGCCCGTCAGGAGAGCATCGTTGAGTGATATACCAGAAGTGCCTTTGCACGAAGCGTCGAAAACAACCCGAATTTTGGTTGCCCCTGCCGTGGTCTTGAATACAGCATGGTGAGGTAAATAGAAGGATCCTTTGTCATCCTGAGTTGTGTCCTCCACCTGCTTCATATGCCCCAAGGCAAGATATTCGTCCAAAAATTGATTGTATTGGGCTCTCAAATTGGGGTCACGCGCAAGCCTTTTTTCTAGTCCACGTAATCTTTTCAGCGCTATCTCCATCGTGTCTCCGATTTTCTCGATGACTTGTTCCTTGAACGGGAGCTTCACGATATATCTACCTTGTGCGGTTCGTGTTGTGTTATCTTGGAAGTGCTGCTCGCAGCGGACTTCGTCGGCGGTAAGGTTATCTGGGCCCTCGATCGTTTCTATAGCCCAGAAGCGACTCAACTGCTCGTCCAGCTGAGCGTTGGTTACTGACGCGTGAAAAGATTAAATATGCTTGGTGGCTTTTGAGGGTTGACCGAGGCGTCCCGCGAGGATCCATCCGAATCTAGTTTTCTGCAGTGTTGGGTGGTTTGTCGAAGTCTTGACTTGACCGACGCAAAGGACTTGCCAGAAAAGCTCTGCTCCTATCAATATATCAACATCAGCTGGCGCGTTGAACTGAGGATCGGCTAGGACGATATTGCGGGGAAGCTCGAAAGCACTTCGTTTCAGTGCGAATGCTGGTAGCTTATCAGTTACTCGGTCAGTGACGATGCAATCGAGTGTGGTAGCGAATGTATTAATGCGAGATTGCAAACGGACTTGCGTTATTAACGAGGATCTTGTGGTCGTGTTATTGATGCCGGAAATCGAGATATTAGATGATCGCGTCTGGAGGTTAAGCGTATCCAAGAATTTCTTCGAGATGAAGTTTGCTTGTGAGCCGCAATCGAGCAATACGCGACATGGCTTGCGTGAACCTTCGCGATCATATGCGTACACGATCGCGGTAGCAAGTAGAACGCATTCGTCGCTCCGTGAAGTCGAATGTGTAACCACGGTAGCGGGCGAGCTTGCTGACGTTGTTGTTTGTTGTGGTTTTTCTTCCTTAGGCTGGTGTTGAGGTGCATCTTCGGTGAGGTGCAACAACGAATTGTGCTTCATTTTGCACACCTTGCAATTTCCGGAACTGCATTTACTCGCAATATGAGAAGTTGATCTTAGACAATTCATGCAAATCTTGGCTTTGCGAATTTCGGCAATTCTTTGTGGAATCGCGAGTGCTAGGAATTTTTGGCAATGATAAATCAAACGCTCCTCGCCACAATGACTGCATTTTAATCCGACCGACGCGACACAAACGGCTTGACGTTTCGCGCCAGAAGATACTCGCGCATTGTTCTTGGACGATGGGGCGCTTGATTTCCCGGTGGATTCTAACATTTGACTGTGATATATTATAAAGTCTAGAAGCTGTTTGAAGCTTGGCAACTCGGTTGCAGTTAATGAGTTTTGCCATTCCCGCATTGTGACGGCATCAAGTTTGCTGCTCAAAATATGAACAAGTAAGTCGTCCCAATGAGAAGTCGGACGTTTCAAAGCCTGAAGGGCACGTACATGTCTTGACGCGCCACCGACGATTTGTCGTAATTCGCATGCATTTTCTCGCGACATAGAAGGCAAATCCATAATAGCCTTGATGTGGATCTGTGTAATCACACGTTTATTGTCGTAGCGCTCCTTAAGTAAGCTCCAGGCGACTCCGTAATTAACCGCGGAAATTTCTAGCGAGCTGATGATGTTTTTCGCGTCACCCGTTAGAGAGGCGCGCAAATATTGAAACCTTTGTATGTCATCTAGTGATTCGTTCGCGTGAATCATGGAATGGAATGTATCAAAAAACGGAAACCCTCCCTCGTAATTACCGAAAAACTCGGGCAAATTTGTCTTGGCCAAACGTATTTGTGCAGAAGATTCCGACGTATGGGACGCTCGCGAACCCGCAGGGGATGGGGTCATTGCTTGCCGCGTTGTATTTATGGTTAATAACTCGCGCATGCGCCCCGCTAGCAAATAGTAAGCGTCTTTGAATCCTGCGCGATGACCTGATTCGCTATCGTCTAGTAATTCTATGCTTGTTTGAACAGACTCGTAATCCGACCAATACCGATCGAGCTTGGATAGGCGCT